TAATAGAAATCTTTTAGACTATAAATTTAAAAAACAAAATTGATTTTTATTTAAAATTGGAATGTTTATATTTAACAATCACTTATTGACAGGTTGTGCATTTCAATAACTCTAAGACATAAAATAAAGCCTATAATCTAGCCTACATAACCTTCATCGATTTTATAATAATTTTACATATTTAATTTAATTTTTTTAAAATTATTTCAGACCCCTCATTGACCTTTACCACTTTGAAAACAATGCCCGCATCTAATGAACTTTCCGTTTCGTCGGTCTATGAAGATTCCGAGTCTTCCTACAAGCCATCTGTATTAAGTACTTCATCTTTAAATGAACACGAGAATTCTTCAAAAACATCGCTTGTCAGTGTATCGCTTGATCCCCAAATACCAGTAAAATCAGCTCAAACTAAAGAAGTAAATTACGACTACACAGTGCCTGTAGAAATTTCCAAAAAGACGGCCCTTTCAAATAAAAGAATTTGGGATAAAAAGGATTCCTGTTTATACTGCGAAGAACAAGTAACTAACTTTACGCGACACCTTGCTAGGAAACATTCTGAAGAAACTGAAGTTGGAAAATATTTAGCTCTAAAGAAAGGCTCAAAAGAACGAAAACATTTGGTTGACCAACTCCGTAAGCGAGGTAATTTTTTTAACAATATAGGTGGTGCACCAAAAATTAAACCTGTACGAAGGCCTAATGAGTTTGCTGAACCATCAACCGCTAAAAACTATTTACCATGTAAATTTTGTTTCGGGCTGTTTAAAAAAAATTATCTCAGGCGACATATAAAAAAATGTTCTTTAAAAAAAGATGAAATTGGTGGTAAACGCAAAAATATTCAAGCAAATGCTCAATCACTTCTTTTAGCTTTTTCAAGTGAAGATACCAGGCTAGTTGAAGAAGTGTTTCCTAGAATGGCACCTGACGAAATATCTTTGATAGTGAAAAATGATCCCCTGATTCGAGCTTTTGGTACGAGGTACATCAAATGTCATAGAGAGAAACATTTAATTGCTGTTGTGTCAAATAAAATGAGAGAACTTGGGAGGTTTTTGTTGGCCATGCGAGAGTCGGAGAAGAATTGTCAATCACTTCAAGATTGTCTGAAGCCTGAATTATTTGATAAAATCATAAATTGTACAAAAGTTGTTGCTGGATACGACGAAAAATCTGATAAATTTGGCGCGCCGTCTTTGGTCCTAAAACTTGGAACATCCATAAAACAATGTTGTGACATTGCCGAGTATTTACTTATAAAAAGATCTACTTCATTGTGCCCTTCCACAAACACCAGTCAAGATATTGCAAATATTAAAAGTGTAGAAAATTTGATAACCAAGCAATGGTCTTATGAATTATCAACAAACGCATCAAAAGAATTGTACCAAAAAAAATGGAACAAGCCAGCATTTTTACCACTGACCTCTGACATAAAGATTTTCAGAAACCATTTATTGTCTGTAGAAAAAACCGCGTTAACCAATTTGAAGAAAAATCCAATGGATTTAATGTCTTTTAGGGCATTACAAGATACAGTTCTTACCCAATTAATATTACTAAACCGTAGACGTGCGGGTGAAGTACAACGTATGTTATTAAAAACGTATTTAAATTGCTCAAATGAAGTACCACAAGAAGAAATAAAATTATCACTTTCTGCAGTTGAACTTGAATTAACTAAAAGATTTAAAAGAATTGTAATTCGAGGTAAAAGAGGTAGAGGTGTACCCATATTATTCACTCCAAAAATGCAAAAAAATATATCAGTTTTAATTAGTATTCGTACACATTTTTGTGATGAAAAAAATGAGTACTTATTTGCAGTTCCCAACAACGAAGAAAGTAGTCTGAGAGCTTCAGAAATCGTTAGAAAAATGGCTAATGCTAGTGGTGCAAAGAACCCGTCAGCGTTAACATCGACAAAATTGCGCAAACAAGTCGCTACAGTTGCTCAACTCCTAAATTTTAACGATGGAGATGTTGAGCAATTAGCTAATTTTATGGGACATTCAAAGGATATACACAAATCTTTTTATAGATTGCCGGAGAACACATTTCAAACTGCAAAGGTTAGCAAGTTCTTACTCATGATGGAAAAGGGAGAGGCAGACCAATTCAGAGGAAAAAACTTCGACGAAATAGATGTAAATGTAGATGGACTTGTATCTGAAGAAAGTTGTAATAGTGACACCGATTTTAGTGGTTCAGAAGAGGAAGACAACGCGGAAGAAACTACTCCAAAAACAAAAACTGAAATAGAAAATATTTCAGTAAAATCAATTTCTCCACAACCGAAAATTGTGCGACCACAAACATCTACGCCTACCACACCTCAACCACGAAAAACTAGACAAAATAAAAGAACATGCAAGGAGAAGAAATTTAATAGAGTACCATGGACTGAAGAACAAAAAAAGTTAACTACTAAACATTTTCAAAAGCATGTTCTCTTAAAAATTCCACCAAAAAAGAAGGAATGTGATGAGTTCATAAAGAAAAATAAGGACATTTTTGCAGGTAATGCACTAATTTAATTTAAATTTGAAATATTTTAACAAATCATTAATATATTCGAATTGTATTTTTCAGGAAAAGACTGGAAAAAAATTAAGACGTTCGTTTACAACATTTATAAAAAATAAATATGTAATATGTTATAATTTAAAATTTACAGTAATAAAAAAATAAATATTATCATAATAACTTATATTTTCTTAGCTCATTAGATTCAATTTACTTGTGACCAAAATTATGGTTCTAGAACTTAAAACCGTTCATGAAAAACTACATTAAATAATTAAATATAAAATATTCAAAAATATTTTTTCATCAGTTTATCGCAGCATCAATTACAAAAGAAGCTTTAAAGGCTTTAAAAATAAATAAATATATTCTGAAAAAAACGTGGTATTTTTTTATGTCGTGTATAGGCTAGTAAATGGAAATAGAGAGTGATGCAGTTTTAGAAATAAAATTAATAATATTTTAGTTAGCTAACAACGGCAACAGTGTACGGACCTCTTAACGCTGACGTTTCACTAAACTTATGAAATACACAACTTAAAGGATCTCGTTTAGTCCAGTTATCATATGTCTAATCTACACATACACTGGAGCTCGCAAAGTCTACATTGGAAAAAAATATAAAATGAGTATGTCGGTGTATATAATAGAAAATATTTTATATACATGTTTTATAAATTAGTTACTATGTTTCCCGCATGAAAATAAGAATTATTTGTGGTGGATCTCACAACGTCACCATTTATAGGTGGATCTCATTGAGTACGCTATGTCCGTATGTGTGTTTGTGTGTGTGTGTGTGTGTGTGTGTGTGTGGGACTGGAGGTGGATGGGTTTTGCGTACCTTTGTCATAAATCGAAACGATTTTCTGACGTTACGGATTTTTGGGAACAAATAGTGAGTACACAACCGATACAATATAATAGTATATAATGACGGTACCATATACCATATATGGACATGTCGACCATTCACGACGGCAGTCCAGGAAAATAATCCTATGTATTGTAGAATATTTCGTAATATTTCATTTATGTTTATACCTAAGTCGTATTAGGGTTATATCATATAATGAAGTTAACCGAATTAAACTGCTTTGTGAAGATGCCTACAGACTAAATTCATTATAATTAGATGCAACTGAAAAAAATGGAATGATTTATTTAAGTGGATCATTAATGAGTTCAAATATGTTTTTAGATGCTCTGGTCAGTAAAACCCAATATTATTATAATATACTTACAGCACATCTGATATCTTGTATGCCCATCAGTTTGGTTACGTATTAAATTTTATTGTAGTAGACGTTGTGAGATCCAGTGTGTATTGAGATTGGTACCATATCTACGCCACTATACGAGATCCTACACGGTTTATTATTTTAAAGTATCAACTTTACGAGATCCATACGACGTTGCCGTCCCTTCATTACATAATGTTTATTTGTATGAGTATATTATGTAACTACTCACCGGTCACCGCGTCCGAGATATGGTTCCAAACCCGTAGTTCGCGGCAACCAATCGCCGTAGAAACAATGTTTAAATGTTTCTCCGTGACAGTTTCAACAAATTCAACACCATTGTCCATTATTATTACTACCTAGTACCTACCAGTGTAATTTACGCTTGTACGCTATAGCTCAATCTTTGATAAAATATTTTAAGTTTAAAGTCTAGCTAAAAATTAGAAGCACATTATTACAATAATACATATTATTATGTAGATGTAGTAGGTAATGCAAGTTGCAACATATTACGAAATAAACCTTTTTGACCTTCCGTGTTTTTTTAGTGTTGGAACGTATGGTACGGTAAGGTAACTACACTACAGTACAAAACTACTTATCTAGGTTCCTTACCTGTAATTTGTTATATTAATTAATTAATTTAGAATTGTTTTTTTTTCTTTTTGTTATTCTGGCGTTTACTTGTTTATATCAAGTAATATTATGTAAACACCGTTTACTGTTAATATTATATTAAAATATTCATATTCAAAATAATACCTAATAAGATATTAGGTACCTACCTACTTACATAATATTGCAATTTTGAATTTATAGTAGGTAGGCATACATAAACATGTATAAAATCAGTTGATTGATATTAATTAAAATAAATAATGAATAAATAAATTAACCTATAAACCTGTTTTTTTCAATAAAAATTGTAATTGATTTTTGATATGAGAAGTGAGCTGCTGGCTAAATTGTTTACATAATCCTATATTTAGTTACGTAAAGTAGATTTTTACAATAAACCTAAATTAAGAGCTGACACTTTGACAAGGGACACATTTTTATTTATTTATTTTTTATTATTATTATTATTTAACAATTGAATAATGTATATGGTTGTATTAAAGATATATTCAGTAAAAAACAGCTTTAAACATAAATAAGTAACATAAAAATTCACTTTTCATAATCTTTTTTTTCTTTAAAATAATTAATAAAAGCAATATATTATAAATACATAAATATTACAAATCTTTGTAAAGGTTATATACAAATGTTTTCACTTTCCGCCACGGAAAACCTAGAACAATAAATAAACGGAATTATTAGTATCATTTCTTGAACAAAGTTTTAAATAGTTTATTACCTGACATAAGCATTTGGTTTTTAACGAGGAAATCATCACACTCTTCTTTTTTAGGCGGTTTTTTCAATAAAATGTGTTTTTGAAAGTACTTCTTTGTAGTGGCTTTTTGTTCCTCAGTCCACGTCATGCGTATAAATTTTGATTTTTTTCCGACTTTGGGGAGGCGTTTTTGGAGGACAACAGGTTTTTCCATTGCTGTAATATCTTTTGTTTTTTTAAATTTAGTTAATTTAAATTTTTTAACTGTAGATTGTTCATGTTCTGGTGCTGTTTCGGTAAAGTTATAAATGTTTTCTTGAATTTGTATTTCTTTAGTCCCAGGAAGTTGTTGGATATCTGGTTCATCTGAGCTTTCTTTAGTCCCAGGAAGTTGTTGTATATCTGGTTCATCTGAGCAGCTTATATCACTATATTCGCCCTCGCTTTCATCAGACACTAATCCGTCGACGTTAATGTCATCTAGATTTTTTCCTCTATAATGTTCCGCATCTCCTTTCTCCATCATGAGAAGAAACTTACTCACTTTCGCCACTTGAAAAACATTTTCTGGCAGCCGATAAAATGTCTTATGTACGTCTTTGGAATGCCCCATGAAATTCGCCAATTGTTCTACGTCTCCTTCCGTGAAATTGAGTAGCTGAGCAACTGTGGCGACTTGCTTTCTGAGTTTTGTCGAAGTTATCGCCGATGGATTTTTTGCACCACTAGCAAGTGCCAACTTTCGAACGGTTTCTGAGGCTCGTAAACAACTATTATCAGTGTTAGGAATGGCAAAAAGGTACTCGTTATTTTTATTACACACCGTCTTTCGAATTGAAATCAACACTGATAATGCCTTCTGTAGTTTGGGTGTGAATAATATGGGTACTCCCCTTCCTCTTTTTCCCCGTATAACGATACGTTTAAATTTTTTCTTCAGTTCATTTTCCATCTTTGATAAAGATGAGGCGATTTCTTCTTGTGGAGCTTCAATGGGAGAATTTAAATAGGTTGTCAAAAATATACGTTTAACTTCGCCAGCTCTTTTACGATTTAATAGTATTAATTGTGTAAGTATTGTTTCTTGTAGAGATTTAAATGCCGCAATATCAATAGGATTTATTTTTAATTTTTTTATAGAATTTTTTTGTTCTAATACCAAATGATCCCGAAAAATTTTAATATCTGATGTAAGAGGTAATAATGCGGGTTTATTCCATTTTTTTTGGTATAACTCTTTTGAAGCATTTGTTGCGAGTTCATACGACCACTGTTTTTGAATTAAATTTTCCACTGTTTTAATATTGGAAATATCTGTGTTTTCCACGGGGCGTAACAAGGGTGATTTTTTTAAAATCATATACTCAGCGATATCGCAACATTGTTTAAGTGAAGTACCTATTTTTAAAACCAACGACGGAGCTCCAAATAAATCAGTCTTTGAATCGTACCCCGCTATCTGCTTCGTACTCTTAATTATATTGTCGAACAAATTTGGTGTTAGACAATCTTGTAACGTTAGTGATTTTTCACAATTTTGCCGCATTGCTATCAAAAATCGTCCAAGTTCTCGCATCTTATTTGAAACTACTGTAATTAAGTGTTTTTCTTTATGGCACTTTAGGTATCGTGTTCCGAATGCTCGTATCAATGGATCATTTTTAACAATTAACGAAATGTTATCTGGTGCCATTCTTGGGAAAACTTGCTCGACTAATTTTGTGTCTTCGCTTTCGAATGCTACAAGAAGCGATTGTGCTTCAGCTTGAACTTTACGACGTTGAGTTCCTTCTGCGCTGTTTTTTTTTAAAGAACAAACTGTGGTATGTCGACGCAAATATTTCTTCTTGTATAGACCGTAACAAAACGGGCATGGTAAATAATCAGTAGCTTGGGGCTGTTCAGCAAATTGATTTGGTCTACGAACGGGTTTCATCTTTGGCATATCACTGATATTATTGAAAAAATTACCACGTTTGCGCAATTGGTCGATCAACTTTTTTCTTTCATTTGATCCTTTTTTAAGAGATAAAAATTGTGCTACTTCGATTTCCTCTCTATGTTTTCTTTGCATATGACGTGTTAAGTTTGTCACTTGCTCCTCACAGAAAATACACAAATCTTTTTTGTCCCACAACCGTTTACCAGGAAGTCCAGATTTTTTTGAAACTTCTACAGTTGCTAAGATATTATAGTTTTTCTTCTTAATTACTTTCTTTTCACCTTTCTGTGAAGACATTGTAGCTTCAATTTGACTACATGGTTGTTCATGTTCGGATAAAGATTCATCGTTGACAATTGATTGATCCGATTTAAGTTCAGCTGGTGACTCTGGTAGTATATAATTATACGTTTTATCAGAAGATTGGGATTCACTTGATTTATAATTATTTTTAGGCCTATAAGATGAACCAGAATCTTCTTCAACTGATACGTCAGATGTGATATTTCCAGGTACCGGAACGGATGTTAAATTGGCGTAGGTTTTCAACGAAGAATCTACAAAATATATATTATCTATATAAAAATGTTACCCTAAGTATCAATATAAATATAATTTATTAATTAAGTGGTCTAATTAAAAAAAAATTGACTAATAGGTAAAATTTTGAATAAAGATTAATTAATAAACTGTAGTAATAATATATCTGCAGTATTCCAGCCTATAAAATGTCATAATGTTTGAATTATTATGGACTATGGCAAAATATGTTGTGAGATTTTAAGTAAAATTGAATAATATGTAGTAGGTTAATATGTATCATTGCGAGATCCGACATAAAATTGAAATATTGAGTAATATGAATCGTTGCGAGATCCGACGTAAAATTGAAATACCTATTGAATAATATGTATCGTTGTGAGATCCGGATTAAAAGTGAATAATATGACAGTTGTATCGTTGTGAGATCCAGAGTAAAATTGAATTTGTAGTGGAAAAGTTTGTATCGTTGTGAGATCCGAAATAAAATGTGAATAATATGTATCGTTGTGAGATCCAACATAAAATGTGAATAATATGTATCGTTGTGAGATCCAGAGTAAAATTAAATTTGTAGTGGAAAAATAATATGTATAGTACTAAATTATATGTATAATAATATAGTACCTATGTTATGTATTATTCTATACTTAATATTATAAAGAGGAAAGATTTGTTTGTTTGTAACGAATGAATTCAGACTGATTTCAAAAATTCTTTCACCATTAGAATGCTAAATTATCCCTGGGTAACGTAAGCTAATTTAAAAAGGGTAAAGTAAACCCGGGGAGGTGCTCAAACATGGATTTTGAGATTTACGATGGACATTTTTGTTTATAAATGGTTGCTATTGGTTATAGGATAAATTTCAAAGCCGTATAACATAAAATAATAAAATGCAATGTTGAATATATGAAGCGATCCACATCAGCCAAGTCTATCTCACTTATAGTTTTCAAATTTAGTACATAGGTAATTCTGTACAAGAGAATAACTAGCACCTCGAAGCTAATTTTTAAAATTTTACAATTTAAAGACTGTTGTCCCAAGAACCTACACAGTACACATCCACATCATAATAACAACGTGTTAATTAATTTGTTTTTTAATTGTTAAAACAATTGTAATTACGTAATATAATTACATAATATTCAAGATAATCGATCAAGTTAAGTTTTGTACATCATACACCTCAAAATAAACGAATTGAACAAAGTTTGAATCATATAGAAATGGTACATATTTTAACGGGCAACGAAGTGAACAGTATCAGCTATAATAGGTATATATAAAATGTATGCGTTTTTGAGTCCTTGAACTTATAGGTACTTATTATATTGTCAATGTAAAAAAATCTTGGTTTTCACTTGAGGTGACTTTTGAACGGGCAACGACGCTTGTTATTAATATAATTCATTATTACTTCTACTGTGATACATTTAAAAAAAAAGTCGTTATACAGCTTAATTAAAAAGCGTATTATTTTTAATTGGGTACTCAAAATATATAATTTGTTTTATGAAAATTGGTTCTAATTTCCATTGAGAAAACTTTAATTATTGTTGATTTAATATATTAAAACGTATACCTATTTAGACATATTTGAATATTTACCAGCCACATACCTCACATTTTTTAATTTCTATGCTATAGTCTATAATATAGTAGTTACATAATTACAAAATAGTCAAACATCATTGATATAAATAAGGTGTTGCATGAGATAATGCAACAAATGTGTTAAATTTTATATAAATTATTGTAAACGAAAACCGATTCGTGTAAAGACGGTCTGTCACCTATAAGTAATATATTTTATGATAATATTATTGGTATTAAAGTAATTTATTTTACTATTGATTTAATAAAGTATGACATACAAGTTATTCTTCGCTAAACATCTAATTTCGTCAAATTTGAACTTAAAATATCTATAAAAAAAATAACTATGTATGTATATATATTATACAATTAAATTTGTTGGTTATAGTATGAACTACTTATGAGAAAGCTAGTTGTACATTTTCAGTCCTCAGCTACCTATAAAACTTTAACATTTTATACATTTCTAACAACAAAATAATTTTTAAATGTTTGAGATTTTATCTAAATCTGAACTTTAAATGCTTATAAAAAAACATGCTTATGCATCATTATTATTTTTGAAATTGCTATTAAAACAAATCTAAGAGAAATCTTGTTTTGAATTTTCCTAGATTTATATCACTTAAATCGTAGTTAATTTTTAATAATAATTTATTACCATACTTTCCAAAATAAAATTAGTGATTTTAGATTAAGTAGGTAATACAGAATTTGGGTAAAAAAGATCCTTTATAATATGTTTGGATTATCAATTATGTGTAATCGATTTGGTATTAAAATCAATAATTTAAATAATTTAATAGGTATACATGGTGTCCCGTGAGGATTTACCCATTGCGATATCTCCTGAAAAAATGGAGATTTTTTAGTAAGACTCACAGGGACAAGAACTACAATTAATAGTTCATGTTTTAATTTATTTTAATGTTTTGGTAAAAAAGTTTTAAAATATTTTTTTTTGATTTAACTATTTAAAAAAAATCGAAGGTAGCCATTTTGTAGAGTTAATTTTTTTGAAAATATTGACGTTCCAACATTTTTATTTCGTTAATTTCTTAATTTTTAATATTTTTTCTAGTTTCTAGAAAAACAGCGAATTATACCATAGTGGCATTATAGTGGTTTCAATATGTAGCCCGCGAACGCTTTCAGTGCGCAATAGCATATTATTTTACTTCTCGAAAATTTATTGATGACATTTTAAATAATATTATTAAACAAAAAATCAATATTTACATCTTTGTAATACCTAGTATACGGTCATATTATAATAATTACTATAATCAATAGATAAAATAAATTTATTTTGTGTATTTTGGATTTAGTAAAAAAGGTGTTTTGTCCGTAAAGTGTAAACTTATAAAAACGAAATAGTTAATATTAATATAATTTATAATTTTTGATATTATAATCGTTTACCGTTTTCTGATAAGATTTGATAAATAACTTATTGATTAACAATTAATTATCGTCTGATAACAATTAAACAATTATTCAATTGATTAAAAATTACAATTACAAAATATTATTTCTACCATTTCATTTTAATAATTAAATAATTATTCCTACTTTTTAGTTGTGTTATAAATACTAAATTCTAAATCGTAAATGTATTTTTAAAGTACCATTTACATTGTTTAACAATATGTAATTGGGATATCTTAATACTTATAAAAAAGTTACAAAGTAACAAAGATCAACTTGTGATTTGAATGTTAATTATTCTCTATTCATAAAAGTACCTACCTACCTATTATATTATTTAATACAATTTTTATATTATTTTATTTGTCAATAAATTAATAATAGCAAAATAAATAGGTATATTATAATAAAATATCTAGGGTGACAGACTTGTTTAGAAACGTTTTTCGTACCTATTTCAGTGATTTATCAGTGGATTATTAAATTGTAATACATTCATTACAGTGGCCAAATCAATGACTATACTCGACTCCTACTATGATACTGCAGTGAGTTAAGAGTTTCCCTATTTTTTTTTCCTTTTTTTTTTTCCATAGTAGTATAACAATTTTTAATTTTTAAAATATTTAAACTTTTTAACTTATACAACTATATAATATCTTACCTGTATATTGACTATTTTCTGTCTCCATATCTTGAGATTCGAAAAATTTTCTCACTTTGAATTTTACTAAAATAAAATATATTTAACATTTTAAAACCATTATTGGTTAAATTAATAAAATTAAATAATTTAATAGGTACCTGTCGAATCAACATCGTTATTGATTTGTATGCTGTTGTTCCAATTCTTATTCTTGTCATTTGTCTTCATATTATCTATGTCAAAAGTCAAAACAGTTAAATAAATTATTAAAGTTCTTAAAAACTGTGACCGATTTATGTTACGTGATGACGGCCAATTTTTCATACAAGTGGACAGACCCCACATCAATAAATTTAAATATTTTGAGGGTATTATCTTACCTTGATTCGTGGAACCCACTGGTTTTGCCATATCCAAAATTTTTTTGGATCTTGTGGATCTCATTTTGATATTTAAAAACAGTAATATTTGTTGTTACGAAAATATTTTGCACTACCACTACTCACTTGCACTTGCACTGTGCACTTTTAATTACTCACAAATAATAAAGTAATAAACATAGAATTATAAGTAGGTACCTAAGTCTGTAGTCCGTGCACAATGACTGCAGGGAAGATAATGGCGTGAGTCGTGAATTGTTTGGTAGGCCTATGCTATATTGATACAAATTGTCCATGTCTCAACATGCAGTTTTAAAAATAATAATATATTAATATTCATCGGCAGCGCACGGCTAAAATTAACTTGCTTTGTTATGATGTCTAACCGGCGCGCGTGGCGTGGGATGGCAAGCGGGTCACGGGGCACGGGGGTAACGGGGCAGTTTTTGTATCTCGGACATATTATACGACAATATTATTGCAACACATCGACAACAACAACTACAGGCCAACAACATAATACCACCGGTCTGATACTGACGAAAAAGTTAAAAATGTTAATAGCCGCTACCCATGCATTTGTTGTCTTCGTCTTACACACGTACAACATAGGCACATGGCACATATTTTCACTAGTTTCAATAGTATGCTGTTAGTTTTGATATTAGAGTGAACTGACCTATTATCAAATTTTTAGATAAGAATATTATCTGTGCTTAAGCGTTGCCTTTTATTTGATATTTTAATTTTCAAACAAGATATAAGCATTTTTAATTTTTGATATTTTACATAACCCATATCTTGCTTAAACATGAAAATATCGAAAAATCTCCAACAACTTAAGCACATATAATGTTCTTACCTAAAGTTTGATAATAGGTAAATTCATTCTATCAACTCTATCACTCTATCAAAACTAACAGCACACTATTGAAACTAGGGAACGAAAATTTGCTATGATAATGACGTGTTGCTTGCAGTGGCGTAATACGTCATAGTTAATAGGTAAAAAGGCAACTGTAAAAACAATTACCTTGAATTGAAAACCTTCCGTAGTGAGGTTAGCTGTTTTTGTGGGTATAAACAGAAATGTAACTAAATTACCTATCCACAGTCCACCTCTAAGTCAAAAAGGGGCCTAGCACTGGTCTAGCAAAAACCAAAAACAAACGAAAACATAGTGAAAAAATAAAATAAAAAACACGATTAAAAGCTCGTATTCAACATTTTCATACTTTAAAAACGACTTGTGGCTACAAAATCATACACACTAACAGCACGAACCTAAGAGTAAAACTTTAAGTAACTCAATACGAAAAAAAGTTCAAAATAATTATTACTCAAACGTATTTACGTATTTACGTGGTTTTTAGATTTTTTTTTTTTCGTTTGATCACTACAAAATTCTAGAATCTGATCATTCGGCGTACGAGGATTCAAAAAACCTCTATGGTCAAAATACGTACGACCATTATTTCGCCCGCAATCGTAGTAGCAAAAAGTTAGAAAACAATAATTATGCTATTTTTCGTATTATCAAGGCGTCTCCTTGTGGTATACGTCTTTGTAACGTATCAAGTAATAATTATTTTGAACTTTTTTTCACACTTATTTTAGTAGGCGTGTAGCTCATTATTCATTAATGTAAATCGTTAGGTATATAAGAATAAAATATTAAAACCTATAAAATAATAGGTCAATTCACTCTAATATATGTATTTGAGCTACAACACAAAATTGGATGTATATTTGGATGTAAATTGGATGAAACCTTCAAGGATCGAAGCAGTCAACCTTCGAGATCAAATTTATTGTCTCAAAAAAGCCACGACTCGATTTTAAGTTTGAGAAATTGGCAAAAGAAAATTCCCCGCCAATTTTTTTTTTTGAATAATTTAAATTTTGACCTCAACATTTACCCCCTTAATATTTGAGTTAATGAACTTTTATAAACTCGCAAATGATCTAGGGACGCTTCTGCTTCGATCCTTGAAGGTTTCATAACGATACGACTTATTTTGAAGGAGCTAGTACTTCAAAATATACATACAATTTTGTGTTGTTAGCTAAAATACATATATTAGAGTGAATTGACCTATTATTTTATAGGTTTTAATATTTTATTCTTATATACCTATCGATTTACATTAATGAATAATGAGCTACACGCCTACTAAAATAAGTGTGAAAAAAAGTTCAAAATAATTATTACTTGATACGTTACACAGACGTATACCACAAGGAGACGCCTTGATATAATACGAAAAATAGCATAATTTGTTTTCTAACTTTTTGCTACTACGATTGCGGGCGAAATAATGGTCGTACGTATTTTGACCATAGATGTTTTTTGAATCCTCGTACGCCGAATGATCAGATTCTAGAATTTTGTAGTGATCAAACGAAAAAAAAATCTAAAAAACACGTAAATACGTAATTTTCTAAGTACAAAAAACACTTTAAAAATCATAACTCCCGAACCAAAAGTCGGATCACCTCGATCTCGGTGCCAATCGTTCAGGCGTAAAGTGTTCAATAAAGCCCGACTACAAAAACGGCTCGAAATCGAAGTGTCAGTAACGAAAACTCCGAAAAACGTAAATTTTGAACTTTCGAAGCCCTAAAAGACGGAGAAAAACGGCTCCTTTGGTCTCGACACAAGACGCCGGAATTTCAATATGCTACTTTTTTTAAAGTCTACGTTTGATATTTAAGCGGTAGGTACTGCGTTGAATCTTGAAGACTTCAAGTCGATAGTCGATACGAGTATATAACCAATATTGAAGAAGTTTTGTTAAGGTAATTAGGTATTTAATAGAGATTCATACTAGCCATAATAATATAGGTAACCAGTTTAGTTATTTAACAGTTAAGGACTAGTTTAACTTCATATTTAATTCATAAATTCAGTTTTATTAATTAATTCTCCAAATATGGATAGAATACTGATTTAAACACATTTCAACAAAATTTATTTATTTAAAAAAGTTTTAAAATATCAGTAGGTATTTGAACAGTTTGATCTAGTCTTTGAACATTTCAAACCAAGTAGATATTTGAATACTAATAATAAATATAAAATAATTAGTTACCTATATTGAAAAACAATACAAATCTATTAACTAATAGATTTGTTATTTATTTGTTTATTTTTCAAACAAACAATTTTTACAATAAGTTATTTAGTACAAATAGATAATTGTCTGCTCACCTACTATAAGCTTAGCTTGTATTGAAGGTGATGAGTTCCTTAAATAGTATATAGTTAATAACTATATAGACTTTTAATATAATATACATAATATAAGTAGCTAAAACCGAACAGGATAGATAAAAGAAAATATAAAATCACCTTTTTTAGTATTAAAACAAAATAAATATAACAGCTTTTGAATAACTAATAAGATACATTACTTAATAACAATTTGGACATTTGAAATTAGAATAGTTTTGATATGATATACTAAAAAAGGTAATAATTTTTGAAGATTAATATTGATTTTTAAATGTTTACAAAGAATAATAGCAGTATTTACTATTTCACCAGATTTTGAGAACAAAATATTTACAACATCTAGGCATATTTTAAATAATATGATATTTATATTTACATTTTTCTAAATCTAGTATTAACATTATGGTTACATATTACTATGTTTAGATACAAGTAATAACTAATAATCAACATTTTTTAAATAGCTTTTCAAAATTAAACTAATAATATCAGAACTTGAATAGTTTGGTAACTTTAATAGGAATTAAATTAATTAATTTATAGTTACATTTAGTTATGTTAAGTGAACATCATAAGCAGTACCCCAACTCTCATACCATAATTGATTGAACCAGTGAAATATATACTATTCTCAATTGTAGTTTATCAAGTATAGTACTAACTACTAAGATTACGAAAAATTTAGTAAATGTTTTTAGTTACCACATAGGTAACAGTAAGTGTTTTGAAAAAATATTTTAAAACAAAATATGAAAATTAAAATTATGTAAGTAGGTACATGAGAAAATAAAAATTTTAAAAAAAAAATAAAGTTTTTGCACACTGCTATGTATTGCTGTCTTGTAATATTTAGTATTTACAATGAACGTCAGAATTAATATTGTGTATAAAATATAAATGCTGATAACGACAGTGGTTAAACACAATTGTTTACAAATTACCTAGGATTATACAATTTATAATGGTACAACATATATGAATGCCGTGGTAAATTTGGATAAAAATAAATACGGGCCGGCCGGTCGGCACTCGGCAATCACTATTACGAGTTATCATTTCTCAGTACTAGATATTATATCAATATTAATGTTAAATACATTGGGAGCAATACAAAAATAGCCGTTGACGTATTTTTTGATGAATTTATTATGTAAAATATCTAACACTTTTTTGTTTAGGTAACTATGGATTTGTAAAAAAAAAAATTGTTTTCGTTAAATCTATGAAATATGCATAAAAATGTTCTAAAACCTAAAATATGCTAATTCGTACAAAAGATGACGAAATATGCAAAATTATGCAACAAAAATGTTTGTATTTGAAATATACGTATTATGGATCAAATTTGTATCGAACCAGAAGTTCAATATGCACTTTCTAAACAAATATGCAATTGCCTAAAGTTCCGAGCCTTGTTGATATTACAACATGTTATATGATCTACATTCTACACGGACCAAGGGGGGGGGGCCTTTTGGCCCCCTCTAAATACGACACCTGATATTACTTATGTAATATAGACAAAAAACGTTTGCAACTCTTCATGGTAAATGCGATTTACTAAATATTCTGTTTTACTATAAGACTAGACTAGTATGTCACAATTCTATTTATATTATATTATAAAATATATATCTTTAGATTTCAAAGAATGGAAATTAAAAACAGAAGAAGATAATTTATGTTTTTATGCCTTAAGTGCTCGTAAGACTGTCGGACAGAATAAAAACATTACATACCTGGATTGTCATCGAACCGGTAATTTCCAAAGTAGATCAACAGGTGTCCGTAAAATAAAAAGTCAGGCAGCTCTCCCACTAGCGCGACGCGATTGACGCGACGCAACTGACGAAACTGGCGATTCTTATCGCGTCCGTGTTTCCAATGTTTATAAATAGTACTTCTCCCATACACGCAACGCGACTATTTTTGCAGCGACTGCGACGTAAAAAAATCGCGCGCGACTGAACATGTTCAGTTTCATTGCAACGGTCGTCTGCGATTTTGGTAAATATGGCCAAAAAAGACGATCCCGTTTATAACATTAAACTTGTGGAAGAAATTGAAAAACACCCTTGTCTGTACAATTATAAGTTATCCGACTATTCAAAACGAGATGTAACAGATTTGGCATGGGAAAGTGTGGCAAAATCGTTAAAGGACAAAGGTACGTTTATTATTAATCATAGAATAAAATAATCTACAATAGTAATTTAATAATATAATAATAATTAATTATTATTAATAATTAAGTATTAATTTTAATTTTAATTTTTTTATTTTTTAAGTATTAAGTATATATAGTATGAAGTAGTAAGTATTAAGTATTAAGTAAAAATAATCTACAATAGTAATTTAATATTAATTAATAAGTAATATAAACTGACCTAACATAATATTTATTATAAAAAAAAAAATATTATATAAGATAAATACTATTATTTTACGATGTACAATAATTCCATTGCCAAGGTAATGCAGATTGTGGTTGTATGAAGTAGTTAGACAGATAATCTCTAAGTCCGGATGCCGAATTTCTGGTTGGTAAATTGTTGTTTTCATTTTCTAATTCCAAATTCATTCCAATATTCATATTCATTTCAGTTTCCTTATGGTACTGCGGTTGATAAGCTCTACCTTCTCTAATCCGAATAAAATTATGTAATACACACATACATCGTATAATACTGCTTATTGTTTCTTCATTTACACATAAAATTGGTGTACTTAGTACCTTAAATTTACTAGCCATCATCCCAAAAGCACATTCGATTGTTTTTCTTCCTCTACTTAATCTATAATTAAAAATTCTCTTTTTGTTATCAAGTACTCTTCTTGGATAAGGCCTCATCAAATAGGACTTAAGAGGAAATGCTTCATCCGCGACAAAATAGTATGGAAACATTTGTATATCCCCTTGGTCGTGAGGTAATTTGATGCCTGTTGGTATATCAAGACCATTTATATCTAACCATCGGCCTAAACGACAAGCTCTAAAAACTTCACCGTCACTATTTCTCCCTGCCTGACCAACATCAATTGTTGTAAATATACCATCTGCATCACAACTCGCCATAAGTACCAGCGAGTGGTACGATTTATAGTTAAAATTAGATGAACCAGATTTTGGAATCTTTTGTATTCTGATGTGCTTCCCATCTATAGCACCTATAGACAATTAAACAAAAATGTTATTTTTAGTCTTAATATACTGTTAGATGCTTATTTGACATTTGTATACATATTTAAATGGTTTGAGGTCAATATTATAGTACATCATAATATAGCCATTTTTTTATTATATTATATTATACTAAAACTGTTTATGCACCTATACAGTTTGGGAGATTCCACAGATCTTGAAATCTGTCAGCTATTGTTTTCCATTTTTCAGCAGTTGGTACTGGCATATATAGATCTTTTAAACATTCCCATATATTTCTTGTTGTGTCAGCAACGATTTTACTGACAGTGTTATTACCTCTCGCAAAATAAAATGCCAAGGCACTAAAATTGCAACCTGTAGCCAAATATCTGAAAATCATTTTTTTTTAAATATTATGATTTGTATAAATACTATTATTATTCATTGTAAAATTAATTTCATGACATTTTAGAGCTCTAATTATTATGATATAAATATTAATTACCATATAAATTCCTTATAGCGGAAAACTGCAAAGAAAAATGGAGGAACCTTCGTACAGTGTTTGTAAGGAGACAAAAACCACCAAGTGGTTCCGGAAGAAAAGATTGTAAAGTATACTATATGACTGAACATATGCAATTTATTTTACCGTATATTAAAGGATTCAGAAGTGTAGATAGTACGGGAAATCTTCCTTCCCCTCCGAATGTGATGGACGATGAAGTTAACGAAACTGATGAAGTTGAAAACACCGAAGAAAATGAATTCGAATCGACTGCAGAAAGTTTCAACATGACTAAATCAAGCAACGAACAAGTATTTACTCCAAAAGTTAAGAAAAAAAAGACAAACACTTCAGATGCTGCAGATCAATGTTTTATTGATTATATTAATACTAAAAAACAAAATTCCAAAAAAGAAGATGATCCAAGAAAACAGTTTCTGTTAAGTATGTTACCTGAAATACATCAAATGACTGACATCCAAATGAGGAAATNTTTTTTCTTTTTTTTTTTAATGAAAATATTTTACATGATGCATTGGAATGAAAAATAATAGTTAGAATTTAATCAATTTTTACAAGATTTTTACATTTTTGTCTTAATTTGGTTTTTAACAACGTAATGCACCCTGTAAAAATCTTCCCTAATGTAGAAAAACAATTATTTACGATTACGACAAACCTATAGCTACCCGACAAGTTGACAAATTGCCTCAATTTTGCCCCTTATTTTAGTCACGAACGCAATAAATAATACCTATGTTATATTATGCATAATAACATTTTACTCTGTTATTTATGTTATAATGTTATATTGACAAAATAACAGTAACTGTTATTTTAACTGTTATTTTGATAATAGCAGTAACAGTTATAACAGTTATCAAAATTGATAACAGATTACCATCACTAGAATGCGCGCTGTGACAAATATTATTGCTGGCAGATCGTATATAGAATAATAATACAAATTATAAAATATTAAATAGGAACTCGTAAAGTGCATATAAAACGGATGAACATACAGTGCAACGTTGCCGCTCTCATTAAACGTTATGGATCTCATAACATCTACTACATAAAATGGCGAACATAGGTGAAATACAAATGAACATAGTAAAATACACACAGGTGAACACACAACATTTATAAAAATGGGTCTTTGAGAGATCCGGCTATTTTTGGCTGGAAATCGTTGTATGACACTTAAGGCCTTAGGGCCGGTATTTCAATGCGAGTTTATCTTAGGATTAAGATAAACCAAAAACTATGATTAAGGTGAACCTTAAATGAGAACGAGTATTTCAATCTTCTACTTAGTTAAGCTTTAGCTTAAGCCTACTTATGGCTATATTGTTTATTCTTCCATGGCTAATCAGTAAAACATCACTTTTAGCGCACGCAATAGTGTACACAACAGTATGTTATCAGTGATAATGTGATATAATAATAATTGATGTGAGTGTTTAAAATTTAATTTGTGAAATTGTTTTAAACAGTTATGTAAGTACATGTTTTTTAACCAAGTACAAAATTGTTAAATAATATATATAATAATAGTTGCATATAGTTTTAAAGTTAAGGAAGATGGCAAAGAGAAGTACTAATTTTTCATCAGACGAAATCGAGTTGCTGAAAACATTGGTACATAAACGATGGGATACAATTGAATGCAAAAAGTCGGATTCATTAACATGGAAGCAGAAACAGAGTAGTTGGGAAGACTTAGCTAAAGAATATAATTGCAACAGTATATCTCTTGAAAACCGTCCAGTGAATATATTAAAAAAGAAATGGGATAATATAAAAAAAACAATAAAACAAAAAGTGACTGCTGAAAAATCCTATATTAAAGGAACTGGTGGTGGACCAGCTAAAAATACAGCAGTGTATAGCTTATCCGAAATAGAAACGCTGGATCTTCTTACCACTCAAGCAACTGGAGATTATGCAGTATTTGATTGTGATGGTGACAATGAACCAGGTTAGTTGTATTTTCTAGCTATATATTAAAAAATATTTTATAAGGTATAATGAAATCAAATATTTTTTTAAAGACATTTCATATAATAACAATAATAATGAAATTTCAAACAATCCATCAACATCAAAAATAGAACTGAATTCAGTATCTAGTAATCCCGGAATGCAAGATTGGGATGATTATTCGCCAGCATTATTAAAGACTCCATTATCTAAACCATTAGTATCTTCACCATCAGATTATGTACAGGTTATTGTTATTATCACATTCAATTTTGTAATATAATATTGTAATTTTTACTCATGTTAACTTAATAAACATACAATACATAGGCGTAACTAGCCCTTTATAATAGGGGGGGGGGCTGGAGTCCCAAAAGTTTTGAGGTACCTATGGAAACATAATTGCCCCCACGGCCCACTCAAATATAAGTTTTAATTTGTATGAATTATCTAAAAAAACTTTAAATTTAGAATAATTAATAATGCATAAAAATTCTTTGTTTTACCTGAATTACATAAAACTATAAAATATATATTATACCATTTATACTTAATGGTTAATGTAATAATTAATAATAATATTTTAAATCAAAAATTGTTTGTACATACAGTATACTTCTTTATTTTGACATTTTTAAACATAAATTATAACTTTATTTTCAGTTAATAACAGTAAATAAAATATACACAATAGATAATAGTCTATATTAAGTAAAATATTTATAATAAAATAGTTATGAAGATTACAAATCTATACGCCTATTCTTCAAAGCAAAGTTATTTAAAATGTTTTCTGACTAGATCTTATTTGAAATATCTCTTTCAATATGTAAAATTGACATATCTGTAAATCTATCCTGGTTCATACTAGATCTGATCCATGTTTTTATTCTCCGCATTACAGAGAAAGAACGTTCACAAGAAGCAGAGCTGATGGGCAGAGTTAAAGCAACTTGCATGAGTTTATATAAATTGGCGAAAACGTTCTGGTCTATTTTTTGCAACACATCACTAAGAGCAAAATCAGAATTTTGAATACTATTTTTAATTACAGTCATTTCAGTTTCTAACGATTCAATATTAATATCCAACAATTTCTAAATATAAAATTTAAAAAATTAGTAGATATATTATAATAAAATAATGATATGTGAATAATTACACATTTTAATTTTCAACTTTGCATAATTTTAAATAGGTACCTCATAATGTTGTATGAATGGTAAACTTTCTTTAAATTGTAATTTAAAAAAACTGTCAATAGATGACGCTAAATGTAAACTTTCAGATGAGAATCTAGTTTTCATGCTGGTAATAATTGCATCCAGAATTCTATAATATGCATTAATTTTTCAGTTTTCTTGATCCGATATATTTAATGAAGACTCATCAAATTCTGAGTATTCATTCCCAGTAGTAGTAGAGGTATAATAATTTCTTAAATATGTGCTTTCTTTTCTTTTACGCTTAGAATTAGAGCATTAAATTAAATACACAATAATAAACCAATGTAACATCAAACTTACTAACCAACTGTCAAACCTACTGTTTTTAGGCACATACTGACATACATTTACCCAAAAAATTTGGATGGGCTATAAGAAGTCTGGGGGGGCTGAAGCCCCCCTAAGCCCCCCCCCCCCCTAGTTACGCCTACTAATTAGTAATTAATTATTAAATGTAGATATAATTTAAGGAAGTACATTTTACTGTTATAATTGCTTTCTATAGGAAAAAGTAACTTCTGTATATGAAAAGACACCCAAAAAGTGTACGGGCACAACTACCAACAAAAAATGGTGTAATCTTGCAGACGAAAAAATGAAAATTGCATGCTTAAACAAGACTAAAATTGAACTTGAAATTTCTCAAATGAAAGAAAAACATGTAATTGAAATGGAAACATTAAAAGTTGAGTTAGAAATTAAAAAAAGGAAATTGGAATTAATGAACTAAATTAATTTTATCAAATATTACATTACAATATTACCTTATACAAATAACAAAAAGTCCCTTGTTATTTAATTGTTTTTATATTTTTTAATTTAAATTGTTATTATTAAAATGTTAAGTTTCTTTAAAAAGTCATGTACCTAAGTAACAAAAAGTTCCTTGTTATTTAATTGTTTTTATATTTTTTTAATTTAAATTTATATTATTACAATTTTATATTTTGTTTTAAACTGCTTTTAATATTATTAAATAATAAAATGCAATACAATTGTGTTATATTAATTTGTTTATATTCTTATAATTTAGTTTAACAAACAATATGATGTGATATACATAAACACAGATGGTATTATTTTTACAATAAATGTTCAAAATATTGTACATATCTATTTCTTAAATAATTATTATTATTATTAATGTGTATATTATTTGGAACATTATTTACAAAGTTAATGGCTTCTTCAATTTCTGTTAGTAACGGAGGTAAAGCACAATGTTGTTCTTTATCTATTGTTGCAATGTTATGTAAAATAGCTGTTGCTATAATTAAACATTGCGCTTTACTTACGTTTAACCTGATCCCAGTAGATAAAATAGGGAATCGTCGTTTCCAGACACCAAATGCTCTTTCTATAGGATTTCTAGTTCTGATTTGTGCCTCATTAAATATGTTCTCTGCTGGAGTATTTACATTTTGAAGTGGAGTAATACAAAAGATTTTCAGAGGATATCCACCATCTCCTAAGAGAATGCTGTCACCGAATTCCCTGTTTTGAAAACGTGAGTATATTTTGGAATGTTGAAAAATTCGCGAATCATGAGCTGATCCCTGCCACCGTGAAACTACATCAAGAAATTTTAGATTTGAATCACAAATTGCCTGAACATTGATTGAAAAAAACTGCTTCCTATTTCTGTATATTTCTGCATTTAATCCACCTGTAAAACAAATTTATTCTTAATTTATAATAACTAGAGGAAATATAGTAATTATTGTGTAGGTACATACCAGGTGACTGTATTTTTACATGCGTACAATCCAATGCACCAACAACTTTAGGAAATTTTGCAATATTATAAAAATCTTTTTTAATATTTTGAATAATAACTGGATCATTTGGAAATGTTAAAAATGTAGATTTTAATTCGGCTATAGCTTGTAAAACCTTCCATATATATTTTCCAGCAGTTGTTTTGTGTATTCCTGCAAAATCTCCTACTGTAATTAACATACCACTAGATGCAAGGAAACGTATTGTAATTAAAATCATTTGTGCCGGTGTAACTGCATGATTCCTAAAATATTTTATATAATAATAATATAATTACATTGTAAGTTTCTATTATTAAAAATATTTATATTATAGGAATCCATTCTTACCGGTCAGTAGACGATTGAATTTTGAATGTGATTAGGTCCAATACAATATTCACACATCGTTTAGTTAAACGAAATCGATTAAAAAATTCGTTTTCGTCCCACTCGAGAAAATTATCGGTTCGGTTTCGAAAAACGCGTTGTTTTCTTGGCTGACCAAGTCTATTCACAAATGCGATTATAGTTTCATCATCACTTGAACTTGACGAAGAATCCATAATTTTACGAGGTTTTTTTAAAAAATATACTAGTTCGTAGTCACCAGTCAACGTTAATTCGTAGTACCTTCAACTAGACGTCTGTTAACTGTTTATTCAAATGTTGTTTATCAATCAATAATATCATAGATAAACCACACCTGACCAGCTTAAACCATACCTTGAGCGTTCCTTAAGATAAGCCGCGAAAAAGTAGTGCTTATCTCTTAAACCTTGATTGAAATACGGAAAACTATAGTTAAGCTTCACTTAGTCTAAAGCTTAAGCTTAAGTATAGATTGAAATACCAATATATGGAAAAAACGTTACGAGATCCACCCATTCGGATCTCACAACGAAAATGGATCTCGCAACGCTGCTCATTTTCCATACGCCGGNAATACCAATATATGGAAAAAACGTTACGAGATCCACCCATTCGGATCTCACAACGAAAATGGATCTCGCAACGCTGCTCATTTTCCATACGCCGGATCTCCTAACGTACCATAAGTACGGCCACACACACACACACACACACACACACACACACACACACACACACAAACACACATTATTTCACTGGACTGCTGCCGCGAAGGCTCAGTAATGTCCATATATGGTACCGGCATTATATATTAATATTATTGTATTATATCCATCTAGAAATAAATCTTTCCCATCGTTCTCAAAATCCGAAACGTCACACACACACACAATACCCATATCTATTATATGTATATAATATTAAAACGTATTGCGCAGTTGATTATTATTATTATTTTTCCGTATATATCGTCGTATATACTACGTGCTTTCTATATAAAACAACTGCGTAGTATCTACGAATTACGCAGTAGTTTTATGAAATATTCTACAATGCGCAGCATCATATTGTTGGTCTGCAGTAGCGACAGTAGCGAAGAGTCGGAAATTACCTAACATGTGTAAGTCTTTTAATCTTTTATTATACGTTCCTGATAATCCGAATATACAATTTTTACGTAATAAATCGAAATTTTGAAAATTGGGCGACGTGATGACACTTAGGAAGGTATTTGTTATAATTCTTGTTATAGTGTCGTCACTAAAATGATACATAAAAAAGGCCTATTCTTTTATGTATTTACAAGCTGAGCCAGCAAGGTTTTTATTTAATTTATTTTACCAAATTTACTACACTAGTGTGTCTATGATCCTATAATTTACTTTAAAAACTGAAGTGTTCATAACGATCGGTTGAGTAATTTCTGAGAACATATCACACAAAGATTTTCATTTTCACATTTATATATTAGAAGATATTATAATGTTTAAAACATACTGTGTAGTTGATTATTATTATAATTTGTATCATGTTACCAGAAGGGTAAATCCCACTAACTTTTTCTTAAACACCTAGAAGTTGTAACAAAGGAGAAATGCCGAACATATCAATTATTGCTCATATTGGTTAAGTATAAACTGAAAAATATCCTGGTAATGATTTTAACAAGTTCCTATTTAAAAATGCTCAAAAGTTATTTATGGTTGTACAATGTACATAGATCATAAATATTAATTATAATAAAAAAATTAGTGACATAAAATAAACAGTTTTCGTCTAGCTGTGGAGCTTGATATCGTGTTGAAGATTTGAAAGATACGATATAAGTTATTCCTATTACTTATTGGTTGAAAATGTTGAAGGAAAGTTGTCAAGCAAACCTGGTTTGATCACACGAATACCTGTCACGTCGTAGTACATACCAAGTAAGTTGAGGTACCTCACAATGTACCTACTAGTAGCATGTACCAAATGTTTTCGTTCTTAATTTAGCAGCGCTCGAATTCGTTCAATTATAAAACTTCATCAATTCCTTTGGCATAATGCAAATTTAAATAGTGATTTAAATATTGATTAGCAAACGGTGGGACGGGCTCAACTATTGTATAAAATGTATATAATCATTGTTAAATCGTCGTACTATGCAATATTTTTTATGAAATACCCATTATACAATGTGCAACATTATATTCCTGGACTGCTGTCACGAGGGGTCGGAAATGTCCATATATACTTGAATTTGATTACTATTATTTATACTTACCTCCACTTCACTAAAAACCCAGCAATCACTCTATATGTTTACAATAGTAATAATAATTTAATATAAATAACGTTTTCTTAAACAATGACCTATGCGATTTAAAAATTATTTTAATCTCAACTCATCATTAGTAATTATTTTTATGTAGGTATTTGTTTACCAATGGTCCACAACTATACTAAATAGTAAATAGTAAATTAAGACATATAAATTATACAAATATATGGGTACGTATAAGTATACAAATTACCAAATGAATTATAAGAATTACATTTAAATGAATTACATTTTTTAACTAATATTAACCATATAAATATAATATAGTAATAGTATACATACTAGTATAATACATTATATAATTATAAACTAAAATTTGGTCTGTTTGTCCGTTAAGTTATTATAATTATTTTCACTTTATTTTAAATTCTGAGCGGAGCGATGAATGTATTGATTTTACAATGTTATGTGTTTTTATAATATTTATTTATTTAATTTTGTTATGTGTCTGTCATCGTGGTTTCTTGCAGTAAAAGTGCTTCTATTTTCTTCAACACCAATTTTTCTGGTAGGAAAGTGAATCTAGTTGGTGCTTAGAGAGGTCAAAATTTAAGATCCCCGATAGTTTCCAGGAAAAAACAAACAAAATATTAAGGGAAACTGGAACATTTGCACAAAACCAGTTTTCGAATAATCGATTTTGGTTTTTAGTATAACAATAAAAAAAAATGACAGTAGATACATGAAATTTTCATTAAATATTTATGTTGGGGTTTTTTATACAACCTAACATTTTCAAAATAATTTGATTTGTGTTTTCGATTATTATTATCTAGTTTTTTTAAACTAAAAAAATGTTCGTTCTGCAGAAAAACTTGTAAATGTAATAAAAGGTTCCTTGTAAGTTGTTGTTAATGAAAATTTTAAAAAAAGTTGAATATAAATCCACAATAATTTTTTATAAACGTTGAAACTTAGAATTTTGACAAAATTCGTAAAATTCACGAAAATTAGCGAATTATAATTAGTTAGAAATTCATAACATTTTCTCTATTTAGATCTTAGATTTAAAAAAATCATTCAAGATTTTTTACAAGTTAATCAACCTTTAAAAAAAAAAGAAATTGTCTACCGGAAAGTCAAATTATATATCTATGAGAGTTTGAAGTTGAAATTTTTAAACATCGGATATTCATTGGATTTGATTTGTAGCGATTTTCTTATTTTATTGTGATTCAAAAACGAATTTCCGTCGCCACTTGAAATTTACACCAAATGTGTATTTCATTAATTCATATACTTCATAAGATTTCCAAAATATTTTGACTTGTTTTGAGCTGCGGACGGTTTTTTTCAATTTTCATTTTTTTTCTAATTCCTTTTACATGATTTTTTTTATCAGCATTTAAAGTTCATATTTCGACAATATTTATCAAATTTAAATTGGAAATGATTTCGTAAATGCATAAAGTTTCAATTTTTATAGTCAAGGATTGAAAATTAAAAATAAGGTCCTACTTAAGCATTTTTTCTAAAATTAAGAAATCTAAAAAATATAAGAATACAATTATTTTTTACAGACATTTTAAGTTTAAATTTGGACAAAAATCTACACGAACACAAAGAATAACGTTTATCATTTTGTTGTAATTATGTTCCAAAACAGCTCAATTTTACATAGGTATATTTAATATTTTTCCAGTATCACTGATCGCTTAAGAATAATATTAATTCAATAAACCTTACTAATAATAAGCAATAGTAATATAAAATATCCTTGACTGTTGGATACACAATCAGTTTTTAAATTCGGCGCGCTGCGTGCGATCCGAATTAGTGGTAATGTTGTCACCCTGCTGCTCCGCCGACGAAGTCTACTCAAACC